AAAGCTCAGAGTATGGAGAGTTTCTGTATAAACCCTCCTACACTTGCAAGCAACTGGTACAGAGGTCTGAGAGATTTGAGGTCAGCACTGGAAACTGCAGAGCTAAAGCCATGAAACTTTTTACCACAGATCAACATGAACCCTTCAAGGATACTTACTTCTGACCTTTATACTAACCTGAAGAATATGCTTTGTGAAGCTCTTTCATAACATTGAGCTTTACGATTTAGATCACTGGTATGACTTTGGCACCAAGCCAGGGAATATGTCACTTGCCCCATTTAACTGCTTGCCCCATTTACACTGACCTGAAACAACTTCAAATACAGGATTTCCAGGAGTGTGTGAATAAATCTCCTTAGTACTTTTAAAGTTAGTCAAATTTCTCACTGTAAAATTAGGCACTGCACCTAATTCTTCAGATCCACCAGGATTCGCTGTAAATATTTCCAGTCCATCCACACACAGTAATTTAGCCTTGGAGACATTTTTCTTCATCAATGAGTATACTGCTTCCTCTTTTCAGTGTTTCCAGCTACGAATTGAAGGAGCATCGTGTTCCCAGGGTACCTCCCAGGAAGGTTTCTTTGCAGAGCAAAAGCGAGGGTGGAATCATGGCTTAAATCCTCCAACATGTTGCAGCCAGAACAAAGTGAAAGCAAAGCGAAATACAACAAAAATGGGAAACAAAATATACAGCTGACACTTTCAGCATTACAGTGGCCAGAAAAAGCACTGGGCTGGGATTTTCCTGAACCTCACAATGGTGTGGCAAGCTGCAAAATAAGGGGAGGGTATTTTGTCAGGAGTGTAGTCAGCATGGTGCTGCTCCCCAGTGAAGCAGCCAAAACACTTGCCCACACAAGAGAAAAGTACTTCAAGTCGGCTTTGAGGTTTGTTAATCCACGTATGCAAGTGCCTTGTAGCACAGGACAGACACTTCACAGACTGGCCCTGCCTGAAAGCTGCAGAGAAAATAGGCACATAATAACAGAAAAACATGAAAGGTTGAGCAGAGAGAGAGAAAAGCATTAACACTGTTTCTAGATATGTTTGTACAAAGGAGCAAACCAAACAATTTTCCCTGTTTCATTACTCCTGAGCACAACGAGAGGGGTCCTGTGAATCACTCCAAGCACCTCCTCCAGTGGTGCCTGAGGGGCCACAGCACCAGACAGAACTGAGCCAGAGACAGCCATTAAAAGAAATCTACTCATTAAATCTTCATGCTCATACAGTGATTTAAGCCCAGAGCCTTGTAAAACAAGCATTTCAGCATATTTTCACATTTCTCCATCAGGTCCACTACATTCTTTCTCGTTACTTTTGCAAACACAACCAGTATTTTATATTCTCCAGTTCATTCATTCTTAATGCTTGTGATTCCTCTTATAAGGCTTGGAAATTGCACTTCTTCCTCAAAAGATTCTTTTTTTCCACTTGGCCAATAATATTTCTGCTGTCACAAGGTGGGAGCCAAAACAGCTTTGGTTTGTTTGCTTCTTTGTTTATGCACTGGCATCCTTGCCTTTCCTATAGATATCAAATGAAATTATAACCATTAGCATCTCTGGTGCAGGACAGTGAAAAGGTGTGTATGGCCTCATCTCAGGAAAATATGAGAATTTTCTCCTTTATCCTAATGTCTTCCTTACTTTAGAAGGTAAAGGAGAGGTATTCATCTTGCCTAACATAAGTACACACACAAGCAACTTAGATTTCCTTTGTAGATGCTGAAAGTAAAGGGCTCTAGCCTCTTATAATGCTTTATACCATGGTCCATATTCTCCTATGAAAAAAAATATGATATTGAAATATGGTCTCTTTCCATTCACAGAGGCAGTCAAGGCTGACTGCTCAAATGTAAATGGTTATTTCATACTCTCAGAGACACATGAGTTGAGGTCCAGCCAATGCATCTTGATCACATAAAAAACATAGAGCACTAGAAGAAAAACAAGGATTTCCTTGCAAAGAAAGTTAGTATTTTCAGTTTGTGTCTTCTGAAACTGCATGACAAACAGAGATGACACCTGGTAAGCTTTATATTTCCACTGTTTTCAACACTGGGAGCTCAGCTGATGAAAGAACAGAAGTGGGTGAATTTGTGCCACTACATTATTAGACCTTCGCTGTTCTCTGTTGCACAGCTGTTTACAAAAAAGTTCAAAAATTACAATTTTTTTTAAAGGAAGGATTTTGTACTTTTCTCTGCTGGTTCAAAATATAAGGCAGCAAGGACACAGTTGTTTGAGGTAAAATCCCTGCAGTTCTCCAGAAACTGATCTGGACTAACACCTAGAATTTCCAAAGTCATGGAACTGTCCCGACTTTCAGCTGCCCTCGACACCTTGGAGACACTCCTGGCAGTTTTCTGCTGCAAACTCAGCCAAGGAGAGGGTAGCAGAGGTGCATGGATTTCTTATTGCCTTTTTTGTGGTGTTATTCCCACATCAGTTTAGTCAATTTTCCTGTTTATTCACCTTGATTATATTCTGCTCAGTGCAGGAGAAATCACTCTGGGTTCAGATATCTCATGTAAATGCATAGCTTACATTTTTATTTTCGGCGTGGACAGCTTACATCTCTGTAAAATGCCAATGACTGCCGCACGCTGGAGGATGCTGGCTTTTTGCAGTAACTTTCTTCAGAGAAATAGATTCATTTCCAGTTTAGTGAACTGAAAGGATCAGGCCGTGTGGATGCAATACAAGGAGAGAGAAGGGGGTTGGTGACCTCATTTCGTTACTTTCAGTGGAACTGCATCTATGCTGTTCCGTAAAACTGCACAAATGTAAACGAGGTGTGAACTGCTTTCACATCTCATTTAGGTAACAGATGAGGCATGAAATGTGTTTCAGGGGCACGTGTACCAGAGCAGTATGCGAAGGCTTGTGACAATGAAGGACTCCTTTTATCACACACAAGAACCCTTTCTCAGAGCACTGGATTAGCTCTGAAAAAAATGTGTGAGGAGGAGAGATATCATCAAGAAATGGCACGTTGTCTGCTTTTATTAGCTATCAAAATATTTTGGATCGCAATCGAAGTTCCTGGAGTCCTCTGTCAATGCAAAGTTTGTTTCGTTTTCATTTCCCACAAAATAAGTCATCTCCAGATGGCACCAAACAATGAAAATAAGTGAGTAAACATAAAGTCTCTGCTCCTAGAAATGAGCTTCTGAGCCAGAATGCAGATTCACTTCTCTTGAAGAACATGAATCTAAAATAAAAAATATTCTTCAGCTGTTTTTCAAAAAAATACAGGTTGCAAGAATGTTCTTGCCAATCACACAGCACGTGTAACATCACAGGGCTTTATTTTTATTTCTAAAACACGTACAGATAAGGTAGAGGAGAGTTAACTCAGGTTTAAGGTAAATGAACACAGCTACAAAAAAAGTTGGGAAAATGGGAAGAAAAAAAAAGCCAAAGTCATCATAAAATAAAAAAGTAAAAGTAAAAATGCATTCTAAATCAGAGAGACTCTGCAATGAGTCTAATGCAACCCATGGAGAGATATTCACCTCCATGATATAGGTGAGCATAGAAGGATATTTGCTAGCAGAGAGTCAGAGGAAAATCTAAAACGTATTTTGATGCCAGTGGCAGAGTTGAAAAGTTCAGCAAAGGACACAGTCATGAGGAGAACTTCACTTGCTAAGGGCAGCAGAAATGTAGACATCCAAGAGCAAAGCAAAGGAAAACTTCCTTCGCATCACTGAGATAAAGAGTTCAAAAATGTTCTGATTTTTGTAGAAACCCACCAAAAGTCACTTCAGATGTCTTCAGCATTTATACCTTTTATCACAGAAAAAGTTTGAATATACCTGTTCAGAATTTGAAGTACTTCTTGAATTTTTCGACACTGTGAAACCACTAAAAAAACCCAAAACAACCCCATTTTTGCTCAATTAAGCACAATTCCTTTGACTGACAGTACAACTTTTATAAACATTAGAAATTAACTAAATCTTACTTTGTTAATCAGTGAAAATTATTTCTTAGAAAGCACTGCTCATGGACAGTGCTCCAAGCTTTGTCTTACGGTTTCTTGCAATGTCCTTTTTTTAATTCGGGTGGGGCACATCAAGTACACACACAAATTAACTACTGATGAGTAATGGCTTTACAATACTGAAATAACAGCTTGAAGAACCAAATACTTCAGCCATTACTTAGGCAAAACTCTCGCTAATTTGAGACTGAAAGGGAAATCTACTTGAATAAAACCTGCACAATCGAGCCAAAAACTGCTAATAAGTGAAAAGACTGAATGGAGAAACAAGGACTCAGAGTTCTGGACAGTGCAGAAATTACCTGGCAGAACATTGCTAATGATTCAGAGAAGTCATTGCAAACATTTTTCTTCTTGTGCTTCTCCCTCAAATTTAGGAAGCATTTGGGTGCTGTTCTTTATCATAAACATTCCCTCCTCTACCTGTTTAATCTAACTGGTACATGTCAAGTCTCCTGGATGATCACTGTCATTCTTTCAATTAAGTGATTATAAAACTCTTGCCTAGCTCTCATTTTCAAGGCTGCAGACTGCCTGCTTATTAACATTGCTCTTACCTCCCTTCTCAAACCTTCTTCAACACTTCTCCCTCCATCTTTTTCCTACACTTTCCTTAGGTTCCCCACCTCCCCTCATTGTTCTCTCTGAATGTCCTTTCTCCATCTTTACCTGAGAAAGGCCTGTTTTGCACTCAGCTGTGCCCCACAGAATCCACATGCAGCCAAGAGCTGCCAACAGACACCCACACACTGCCACCCACATGCTCCTGATTCATACCCAGCCATCGAGATCCCTTCAAAGTAAGTCTGTTGCCAATTTATCTCACTTTCAAAGGTGACTGTCATGACATGGCGTGTCAGCAGTCATCTGGCATTCACCCTCTTTTCATCTCTGCATAGAATTGGATTCACAGGAACACGGTCCTTATCTGTCCTTTGCAGTTGTTTTTCCCCTATACCCATTCAGTATTTTACTCACCTTCACAGATGAGCATCCCAAGGGCAGTAGAGACCCTGGGCATTACACTGTAGCTTCAAACCACACAGTAGAAATGTCCGTGTGTCTCTGCTTCTCCTTCTCCTGTTAATGAGTTCATCTGTCTAGATAAATGGCAGCCATCTGCAGATCTTCTCAGAAAGATCACAGCCTCAAAGATAAACAGTACAGTAAATAAACCTTTTTGTAGATAACCATTGTCTCAATTCATCATTTGACTGACTCTAAGACATTAAACTTATTTGCTTACATATATAAAAAGAAAGAAATAGAAAGACCAGAGGGTCTATACCAGAGACCTTTCTGGTATAGAAAGACCAGAGGGTCCTTTAACTGTGGAGAACTCAAGACACTTCAAAACATCTTCTCTCTCAAGGATTTTTTTTCTTTTCCTACCAGCATTGCTTTTCTTTTTTGTTACATCTTCTGCAAGGTCATCACCTGACGAGTGCCAGCTGGGCAGTCTGTTGGCAGAAGCAAGTAAGCCAAAATCACAGGGTCTACTGAAAAGTCATTCCTCTCTGTAACACCTGACATACTTCTCTTTTACCAGGACCTGTATATGCTGCTGATGTGATCGATTACCCAATATGGTTTCAAGGATCAGACAAAGATCAAGACTTTATCATGGTCCTTTCTCTCTTGCTTCAGTGATCAAACAGGTCCTGGCTGCAATTCTCTCAGCAAAGCATGTCCAGACTCTGAGTAGTTGTGTTTTAATCTGAAAGAGGGATGTTAGGATGGCATTTCACTGTCAGTGGAATATGGAGCTGAATGGCTTTTAATCAGATATATTCAAAGCCATTCAACGTTTTACATATTTTATTTAATGGCCTAGAAAATATGTTTTTTAGCATATAGGACTGCAGAATTAATGCCTGAGGACTACATTAGTGTTACAACTTCATGCAGCGGCAAAATAGATCACCTTTCCTGAGCATCTAATGAACAAATACCATTGCAAAAGGATCACTTATCTTCTATTAGAGTAAGAACAAAGATACTGTGCTAACACTCTGTTATTTGTACTTAAAGAAATGTACAGCATAAGCAATTATCAAATAAATCTATTGGTGCAGCAGAGTGCAAGTTTTCCAATGAATTGTTACTTACCTGCAGCATTTTGATCTTCTGAGGTGTGTTTGCATGAGGTGATGATTCAAGGATTCAATGAGCTTCAATGGCATTCAGCACACCTCAGAAATGTGATCTCACAGGTGTCCCTGTTCTGTGTTTCAGTCAATAGGAGACCACCTTACACATAACAAAGACCATGACTGAGAAACAGGAAGTATTATAGTTCTGCACACATCTTTTCAGAAAACCCGATTCACCTGAATGCTGATCAGGAATCCTGCCATTGAATTTAGAATTAAAAATAAAGCTAATTAACAATCAAAAAACGGCAGATTCTTTTAGTTCCAAAGCCTTTAATTCATGATCAAACATAAACCTTAAATGAGAAGTACTCTCATTAATCTCATTTTGCATTTATTCAGATTTCTCTTCCTACTGTGCATATCTTTTTCTTTTCCCTACTTTTCTCTCCTGAACCTCTGAGGTACTGTTTCACCTTTAAAACTAATAAAACTCTTTAATCATCAGGCTGTTAATTCAAATATTTCTTTTTCACTAGTGAAGAGAATTAACATTTTCTTCACTTTTCTGTAAGCGATTTGCAATCATCCACTAATCAAGATAAATAGAAGAGAAATCACAAACTACCCGAGGCCAAGAGTTTTGTACTTTGGTGCTTAATGACAAGCACATAAATCCATATATAAGTAACCAAATAAACAACCCAATTAAAAAAAAAAAGACAGAACTTCCAGCAATCCTCATTGATTTCCCTAGTCACTTTGTTTTCTTTATTGCTAGTGAAAAATTGAGTACTTATACACAATGCTTAACTGAGGGTTTTCACATTTGAAAATATTTACTTCAGAAAAACTATTCTGAGAAACTTCTGCCCCAATATAAGAAATGAAAAATATTGAAATTTTTATGACAATTGTAAATTATGGGATTAAGAAGATAACTTCGTACATCTCATATAATGTCAAACCTAATGATTCATGGTGCCACTGAGTTATGCATATTGACCTGAGGGATCCCAAGCAAATAGCAAATAAAAGTGTTCCTAATGACTGGCAAATCAAAGCATGCAGGTATGTATGCCATCAAAGCCTAGGGTAGCCGCTTCATGAGTTCACACTTGCTTTTGAAGCCAGCTGCAAGAAAATTGTTACTAGACTGAAACTCATAACTTTGTAACAGATTAGGGAATTCTTTGACAGACATTTCTCAAAGGGCCTCACCCTCTAATTGCTATACAACTGATCCCGCACAAGAGGCATTTCTAAATTCAGGGTCCTTAGATTTTTGTAGGTAACTGGTTTTCATCATTTCAAAATCTAAGAACAGGACAGGGAATGGTAAGACCTAAAAATATGCAAGAGTGATGGTTTGCCTTCACCCTTATCTGCGGTACAGATCCTCTGTAATCACTGATACCATAGCAAAACTTCTTTCATTACCATAATGTAGGAACATACTCCATTAGAAAAGCACCAAGAAGAATTCAGACCTCCAGAGCTTAGAACAAAAACCTACACCTCAAAAAAAGAAAAAAAAAAAGAAAATAAAACCATACTGTAGAATGACACATTGTCAAGGGGTTTGGCTACTGCTAGACTGTCAGGACATTTTCCTCCAGGCATTTCTCAGGTGGCTACAGAATCTTCCAGCTGAAACCTCTATGGCTCTGTGGCAATATTGACACATGGCAGAAGCACCAGTATCCGACCTATCTTTGTGGGACTGCAAATACAGGACGCTGTTTGCTCAGGAGTGTTATTAACCATAGAGTCTCTGAGCTCCAGTTGTTAGTAAACATTCATTATCAGAATCTTCTATGAAAATCAAAAGAAGGCAGCAAATATGACGAGGCAGTCTTTTCAGTTTTTCTTTTGCAACTGCCTCTTGGGACTAATTAGAGCTGCTTTTGTAATTCACAAGCTATAAATTCCTTCAGATGCTTTTGGAAACACTATGTGATCTCCTTGGTGAGATTCTGCTTTGTGCTGATACGGCAAGTCAGCTAAACTTCTCAAATCATGTAACAATCTGTCTGATTAACACAGAGAGGAAAGCCAAGCATGGTTACAGAATAATGGCAGCTGGTTTGTTAATTTGATGTTTCCCTTCCTCACTCACTTAAGGTTAATTGTACTTCCTGCAGAAGTCTACACTCCATTCTCCTGCTAGACTTTTTTTTAATTAGCTGAAAAACATTATCTTATTTAATGACTGACCACAGCTAAGAGCTGGAACAGACTATGCCTACATTGCAAAAAGAGCGACTCAGAGCCATAAGATTGGAATTGGAAAGGCCGGTTAATGTTGGATACCAAAATGCAGACATTGGCTCCTTTTGAAGGAAGAAAAGGATGCACAGCCATGGATTTTAAGTCACACCTGCAATTAATCCTTCCTTGTGGGCAGGTAGGACCCATCATCAGACACATGAGTATGGACCAGACCACTACAAAGGTATCTCCTGGACACAGATTTAGCAGGATCCACAGCCCTTACAATTGCCCCTGTGGGGGACAGCAAGCCCACAGTAGGAATGTAATGCACATTTGGGGTATAAGTCTAAATAACAAAAAGAACAGTTCAACCTTCTCCTGGTGTGTCTTCCATCTTCAGATTAGAGACAAAACACAGAGAAGTTCAGCAGACCACCGACAGAGAAAAGATTTATTTTTTTTTATTGCTGAGGCTGACACTGTGGAAAAATAAGAGAATGGTGATTGTGAAAAAGCAAGACAAGGCATCAGCAGCAGAAAGGGAGTGGCAGAGCTATCCATGGCCACCCATGTAGATGGCCAAAATCCAGCTGCATGAGGAAGACTGGGCTCTGAAGGAAAATTAACCGATCTAGGGTTAGTTGAATGGAATGGAAAAGACTAAGGGATATAAATAATACCTTAGCAAGATGCAAAGGGTATTTTAGTAAGATTTTACATGGAGATATGTAAAAGAGGCAAGATTTGAAGAAACAGTACCTTTTATTAGACAAGACTGATACAGCTTGGAAAAACCAAGCAGATCTCATATGCTTCTCCTCTATTTTTTTTTTTTTTCAGTTATACCCATTGACCTAATAAAAAATATAATTTCTTGCAAACCATCTCCCTCTTACATCCTAGGAGAATCACAAGTGCAATAACTTTTTACTATCATGCAGATTTTAAAAATATAATATTTAGCCTTTCCTGTAAACATATTTGGAATATGTGAAGGGTTGATGGATATTATAGTTGAGTTTTTATTTCCACAGTCTCCTTACTAAACATTATTGAAAACAGAACTAATCAGACTGGGATTTCTTTTCTTCTTTTTTTTTTTTTGCTCCTTTGGTTGTAAAGTTTCTCTGTTTTGCTTAAAAAATAAAATATTGAGTAGGAAGAAGCAATATAAATGGATAATGAAAGCAAATTATTATAAAAATGTTTCCCCCTTCACTGCTACAATAAAAACAAATTTTATTATGCTAACAAAGCCAAATTGTCAAATACAGAACTACAATTTGGTTTAATATACCATTGCACACTGCATATTCAAAATGTCCCAAAGTGTCTTATAATAGTAAAAAAACAGCCTTATTACCATATGTGTGTGATTTCCTTATCAACCAAGCACTAAATTGAACAATTAACCATCTAATGTATTTATCAAAGCTTTCTGGATTTTCTTCTCCCACAGCTCTATACAGGGCTATAATCCTGAATTTTTCATTTTGATTTGGGTTTTGGGTTAGACCGTAATTTTGAGTTTTAAAGTGCAAGAACTGATCCAAAACTACATCAGCAGCTCTAAGTTTAGCCTCTGGGGCTATATCACTGTGAGTGCAATAAAGAGCATTGGTGAAGGTTCACAGGCACTGGGCAGTAATTGCCTTTTGCCTGCACACAGGCTCTCCAAGAGTCCCCAAGCCCACTTTGTGACACATGTCATCCTCTCCAGGGAGGTTGTATACTGCTACCTTATTCTGGAGTCTGTGAGACTAGAGTTTAGAAACTCCTGAGTCTGTAAGGCTTCTGTAGCAAGAGATTAGGCACTGGATAAGATTGTTTACAAGAGCTATAGCCTCTGTATCTTTGAAACATATATTTAAAGACAGATTTTCAGAAGATATCTACTGTCGTGTAAAGACCAAAATATTCAGCCAGATTTGCAGAATTGTACCATGAAGATATCAATCAGTTCTAAAAATCCATATATTTTCCATTTCATTCCTATAAGTAGAAAATAATTTTTTACAAATCTGATGCTCCAGGATAAAGAATTCATCTTAGACTAGCTGTAATGTATACAATATCTAACCAAATTTCATATGAGTTATTTAAACCCTATGTCACTCTGTTCAATATGAGAGTTCAGAAATCTACCAGATAAAGTTTCTTAAGCCTATGTCATTTCTGCTGCATCTAACTTTTCCAGCTGCCTGATCTCAGTCCCTGCCATTCTCGAAGTTCAAATTTGGGCATGAAGTGGATTTTTTTCAAATGCAGCCATCAAACAAAACTCCTGGGCAAAGACAGAAAGAAATTAATAATTTGAGTCACACAAATTTTTTAGAAATTTGTAGCATACTAAACTCTAATCCACCTAATGAACTTAACTCCTAACCCCACTGAAATTCACATTCACCCCTTTAAAATAAATCCCACTCTGCACCCACAGTTAATCCTAAAATACAATCTCCTGTGCTGCTTACTTTTTGAGGCCTATTCACAACTGCAAGATGAATCTTTCAATTGCCTGATGTAACACACCCTGTTCAGTACTTTTGTGAACCACTGGCATATTCCTGACAAAAATGCAAGCATCTAGTACAAGTGTGCTGTCTTTCCTCCTCCACATAGCTACCTCTAGTAGTCAGATAGTTATTTCTAGCTACCAGTACCTTCCATCAGTAATGTCTTTTCCTGGTAACATTTCATCTTCATTTCAAGATGCTGAGGTCTTGGCAACACATACAGTAGATGTTGATCACATTCAGCTGGGGATCTTTTCATGTACTGGGTTAGTCTGGCAAGATACTCAGCTGCTTTTCTTGACAGCATCTTGCATATATAGCCCCTAAATGGTTTCCTTCCACAGCAGTGGGATCTACTCACCTCTTTCTGACCTAGGCCCACTGCTTATCAGCACTGCCAGGATTGTACTGAGGCTGGGCCATAGGG